ATTCCAGCTATGGCAGCCTGAGAGGGGACGGGGTCAGCTCCCGGGGCTATATCTGGCGTGGCCCGGAATGTGGCCCCGCCAAGGTCGCCCTCCAATGGGTGGCCGCTAATTATAGACCCGCTTGGTCACCTTTCAGAGTCCCTCAAACCCCAGGAGGTGGGAGACCTCTGAACCCACCCAGGGGCTCAAAGGCCCGCTCGGAGCAGCTGAGGCCCCATCACCCCGGGCCGTCCTGCCTTCCCCATCAGAGGCCGAGATGGACCAGGGGGCCACCCAGGGCTGGAGCTCCGGGGCAGGGCAGCGGGTCCTTGGTCTGCTGGCTTCACACGGACAGGGCCGCCTTTTTCTGGGGGCGGGCGGGGGTGGGCCAGGCCTGGGCAGGCAGAGGGCCACAGCCTCCAAGGCTACCTGGCCGCCTCTCCCATCAGCTCCCATCAGGCCAGGTGACCGGCTGGCCACGCCCTAAAGAGTCTTTTATTTTCTGTTTATTCAGCCCTGTTCATTGAGCGCCTTCGACACTCCCAACTGTCTCCCTTTGGAGGCGAAGGTGCTAAGAGGAACAACCCGACTCCCACAGTCAAGGCGGGGCCGCCTTTTTGGATGCTCTTTTACCATTTCATCCATTGTTAAGTTACAATTTTGTGGCATGAAGCACATTCACAATCTTGTGTAACCATCACCACCATCCATCTCCAGAACTCTTCACCTTCCCAAACGGAAACTCTGTCCCCATTAAACACCAACTCCCCATCTCCCTCTCCCACCCCGTGGCACCCACCATCCTACTTTCTGTCTATGAATCTGATGACTCTCAGTCCTCATATAAGAGAGATCACACAGGATTTGTCCTTTTGTGTCTGGCTTATTTCACTCAGCATCATGCCCTCAAGTTTCATCTGTGTTGTAGCATGTGCCGAATTTCCCTCTTTTTCATGACTGAGTAATATTCCATCATGTGGATACACCACGTTTGTCTATCTGTTCATCCATCCATGGACGCTTGGGCTGTTTCCACCTCTGATTGTGGTGAGTAACACTGCTGTGAACGTGGCTGTGCACACACCTGTTGGGGTCCCTGCTTTTACATCTTTTAGACATAGACTCAGAGCAGAATTGCCGGGTCGTATGCTTATTCTGAGTTAAACTTTGGAGGAACCGCCATCCTGTTTTCCACAGCGGCTGCCACATTTTACATTCTCACGTCTGCAGGTTCTTGACCCAAAGCCCAGAGATTCTCCCCTGCCCCACCCCGTCCCCCTCTCCTCCTCCCCCTCCCTCTCCCCCCTGGCTGGGCAGGTAGGGGTGACGGCAAATGCAGGGGAGGGAGGGAGGGAGGCTGTCGTCACTGGAGCTTCTGGGACGTCCTGTCGTGGCCCCGGTGGCATCTTCTCATGGAGGCACAGTGCCTGGCCTCCAGCCTTTGCCCGGTCCAGGCCAAATAGTGAAGAGTGCCGGCTTCACAGGGCTCCACTCCCACCCCGACTTCCTTTTCCAGGGGACCCTACCTGCTGCAGTCCCTCCCCCGGGAGGGCTCTTCAGGGACCTGCACGTTCCTTGAAGGAGAGAAGCCAGCGATGAAAGCAGGACCCGAGTGTGGGCTCCGAGGGTCTGCGGCCTCCTTAGTGTCCCTCAGACCGCAGCCTTCAGCTGTGGCGGGCTGTGCAGTGTGCGGAGATGGGTGTGGACAGGGGCGCCCCTGGGGTGCCAGGACAGCATGGCACCCAGGGCAGAACTCCGCCAGCTTCAGTGTCCTGCAAACGTGCACACTGGACAGAGGGAAGCCAGGGGGCAGGGGCTCTGAGGCAGGGGGAGCCTCCTGGGGGCCAGGTGTCCGCAGGTCGGGAGGCAGAGGGGAGCAGGGCAGCGGCAGTGCCACCTTCCCCGTGACCCCGACTTGGGTACCGGAGCCCTGGTGCCTCGCAGGCCCTCACCCCGCGGCCCGCAGCAGACACCACGTGGGCGTCCAGGACCCAACTACCCTCGAGCTGGGTGCCTCCAGGCAGGTCACCGCTCCTCCTAAGCCTAGCTGTCCCGTCTGGGAGGTGAGCGCGACTGTGACACTTGCCACCTAGGCAAGCCCCCCCAAAGTGCCCTCATGTGCAAGCCGTCACCCCCATGACCCTGGCCACAGCAGCTCTGACTGGCTAGGGGACCAGGCTGGGTTCCACTACATTTACTTAGCGCTTTTAAACAGACACTAAGTGCTTTTTCCCTTTTGGGTTCATTTTCATTGCTTACAAAACAAAATGCTGATTTGGGGGAGTGTCTGGGGTTCAAAAGGAGCGTGGGTTGGGACGCTTGTGCAGGCCTCTCTTTGGAATCTTCCACGGCCCTGTCCTCAGCACCCCAAGACCCCCCAAGGCCTGTGTTAGATGGGCCCGGTGTTGGCATCTCGGTGCACCCTATGCAGCCAGTGCCCCCATGCCGCCAGTGCCCCCCGAACGCCTCCAGCGGAGGCCACTCCTTCAGCCTGGGGACCCACTCCCTTCCCCTCATCAACAGGAGCAGGGCCCCTCTCCTTTCGGGGGCCACTCGAATGGCCAGGCAGCCAGGCCCCTTGTCCTCTATGTGACTCAGCTCAGGCTGCTGTAGCAAAGACCCACAGACGGGGCAGCTTAAACAACAGACATTTATTCTCTCCCTGTCCTGCAGGCTAGACGCCCGAGATCCAGGGGTCGGCAGAGTGGGCTCCTCTGAGGGCTGGGAGGGAGAGTCTTTCCAGGTCCCCCCCGCCCCCCAGCTTCTGGGGGTTTGCTGGATCTTTGCCGTTCCCCGGTGTGTAGAAGCATCGCTGTCTCTGCCTCCGTCTCCACACGGCGTTCTGCCTGTGCGAGTCTGCGTCCAAGCTTCCCCTTCTCACGAGGACACGGCCACACCGGATCAGGGCCCTACGTCATGACCTCATCTTAACTAAGTACATCTGCAACAACCCTATTTCCAAAGAAAGCCACACGCTGAGGTACTGGGGGTTAGGACACCAACACGTGAACTTTGGGAACGAGTTGACCCATAACTCCCTCCTAACCTGGGCCCGGAATGAGGCTGCCTGGCCCGCAGGGAGGGTGGGGTCTGACCAGGCACAGCCTGTCAGCCGCAGAAAACGCACGTTCTCTTGTCTAACCTTTAAATATTAACCGAGAGCCCCCAGCATCTCCCTCCGCCTTCTTTAGGGGCCGTCTGTTGATCAGGGAGCGTCGAGTGCTGGGGAGGATGCGACCCCGCTGCACCCCTCTACCCACACCAGCCGAGCCTCAGTTTCCTCGTCTGCAAGATGGGAGGGATGGTGGCACTTGCTCCGTCTCATTCCAGACAAAAGACAAAACCCCAGGGGAAAGCCCAGCGTGAGCAGCTGCTCCTGATTGTCTCCGTGAATGTTCGCTCCTGCAGGGGGAAGACTACTGGGAACCTGACTCGCCGAGGGGGCTGGTGGGGGCAGGGCGAGGTCATCACGTCCTGCGCCGGGCAGCTCTTTGCCAGGATCCTCGCAGGCTGTTGCACAGATGTCAGCGCTGAGCCGGCCTCCTCCCGTGGTTGGCTGGTGCGGGCTGACCCCAGCAGGGCAGGGAGCAGAGCGCCTCGGTCCGCTGTGGGCACAGGCCGGGCCACACCCCTCACCTGGGAGGGCTGCCCCTGTGGGGTCCGGGAAGAGTGAGAGCGCTGCCCGTGCCCTTCGGTTCTCACCTGCCCCAGGTGACCCCGTCTCTGCCATTGTTGGGGGAGCAGGTGCGTGGGGGGGGCAGGGAAGGCACCTGTTCCAAGATGGAGCTTGGACACCTACTGGCGGTGGACCTGGCAATTCATGTCACCCCTCTGAGCCGAGCTTTCTTAGGCAAAGCCAGGAACGCTCAAGGCGCTGGTGGCAGGTGGAAGGAATAACGGACTCCGGAGAGAGCCGTATCCGGCCACAGCACAGGTGCTCAAGACCATCCACGCGGAAGCACACGGCTGCATGATGGAGGAAGTTTTCTTGGAGTTCTAAATGAAGTAAATCTCTTTCTTTCTCTCTCTCTACACGTGTGTGCACACACATATGCACAATACCTTCAGACACAACCAGGAACACACACACACAGATGCATGCATGCGTGTACACACACAGATGCACGCACACGTGTACACACACAGATGCATGCACACATACACACACAGATGCATGCACACATACACACACAGATGCATGCACACGTGTACACACACAGATGCATGCACACATACACACACAGATGCATGCACGTGTGCACACAAACACAGCCACATGCTGACACCCACAAGAACTCACTTGCACACACACACACACGCACACACAAGCATTAGCCTACTTTTTCCATCCACACCAACCATCTATTGTTTTCAAAAAATACTTTCAAAACCAGGGCATTAAATGCATATTTAGCCTAATTTCTCAGAATACAATCTCACATCTTAAAATCACGATTTGGAACAGACGCTGCTGTAGTCACAAGCAGATCCGTTCAAAAAAAAATCCGTGAAAACCGCCAGTGTCTCTTCGTGTTGTGTTATCATCTACTCAGTGACACAGTAGAATAAAATACTTTAATGTCTCGATTACACAGACCCCACGTGGCCCACAGCCACACAGCACGGCGACTCCTCAGTGGCTGGGCCCCCGCGTTTCAGCTGGGCCCCCGAGTTTCAGCTGGCTTTCCCTGTGGGCGAGGGGGGCTCCTGGCCAACGCAAACCCACAAGGGTCTTCATTGAAAGCAGCCCTCCCTCTGAGCCCCCCTCGTTCTGATGTGACCCTTGTTTGGGAGGATCAGGAGAGGTTGGGAACGTGTTTCGCTGGCCCTCGAAACAGGAGCCAGCCCAGAAGCAGCAAAGAGGGGTGTGGAGGGGGGGAGCCAGTCATGGAAACCCACTGGGCCCCGGTGGTCAGCTGATGGTGCACACGCAGGCGTCGGCTGGTCCACACCTGCCAGGCCGGGCTGGCCGTGAGGTCAGAGCCCAGCCCGGGGCCAGAAGGCGTCAGGCCTCCACTCCCTCAGGCCTGGGGGGCCCTGCGACCTCCCCTGCTCTGCTGCCTCTGCCACTGTCGCCGCCCCCGGGGCTGGGTGGCCCTCCGCGGAGCCCGGCCCTGCTCTGGAGCAGCCGCACCATCTCGTGGTCCTTGTGGTCCAGCACGCGGGGCAGGAAGAGGGAGGACTTCTGCGTGCGGCGCGTCTTGAAGCCCCGGCGGGGCCGGCCCTTGCCGTTCACGGACACGTACCACAGTCTCTCGGCGCTGGGCTGGCGCCGCGCCCCTGGCCCGCTGGGCACCGTCCGGTACAGCCGGGAGGCGTACGTGTTGTAGCCCAGCTCGTGGATCCGCTCCACAAACTCGCACTCGGCGTTGTAGTCCTCCTGCAGGGGGCGGGGGAGATGCCACGGTCGGCGCCCACGGGGGCCATGCGGACACGGGGCAAGGGTGTCAGGGATGCTCCTTCACACCGCCTCCCTGCCCTCCTCTGCTCCTGCACTCTCGTCCCTCCACACCTTTGCCCGGGCCGTGCCCTCCGCCTGGCCTGCCCTCCCTCCCACCTGTGTCTGGTGAACTGGGCCTTCAGGATTCAGCTCAAGTGCCTCCTCCTCTGCCAAGATCTCCCGAGCATCTCCAGAAGACTGGCCTCTCCTGCCTCCCCTCTCTGGTTCCCCCAGCTCCGTCCCCACTCCGTGGGCACTGACTCTGGGGGCATCCCCAGCACAGAGATGTGTGGTTGTCTCAGCAGAGCAGAGACAGGGCCTGCCCGACCCAGGTGCCCTAAATGTCTGCGGGCAGCATGGACATCAGCAGGACTGGACATCTGGACAAAGGAAGGGGGCGGCACCCCAGGTCGCTTTTGAAGAAATTGCATAAATGAGAGAGAATGAGAGAGAAGCAAGAGAACACGGAAAAGAGGAAGGAAGGAGGACGTGGCAGGGTTTTGCGAGCCCGGGTTCTCCGTCAGTCGGCGAACGTGGGTCCCAGCTCTGGGCCTTGAACTCAGAGTCGCCGTCTTGGCCTCGGGGTCGCTGCCCCACAGGATGAAGGAGGGACGAATGCACACAGAGAAGCCGGGAGCCTGGCTGGAAGTCTGTGCTGGTAGACGGCACAGATACTGCTCCTTTTAGCGGGGCGCAGAGTGGGGCGCCCAGCACAAGCAGGATGTACAGGACGTTGACTGTCGGCAGAGATTAATGGGGACCCGTGGCAGCCTGGGACCGGGGGTGGTGGATGTGGGTACCTGCCCTCTCAGATGCGGGCGTCTGGAGGGACAGAGGTGCAAACTCTGAACTGAAGGAGCTTCCACCAGCGTCCCTCAGGGGCCGCTGTGGGGTCTCCCCGGGCAGGGCTGGGGAAGGGGTGGGTATGCCATATGCTGACGCAGTCGAGGCTTCAGGCCCTGCTCCAGGCAGGTGGGCACGCCAGGGGCCACTCCCCACCTCCCAATGCTTCCCTCCCAGACTGTGCCGGGGGCAGGGCTGCGGGACAGGGAAAGGTGGGCAGGACTGGGCAGGAGGCAGGAGCGGGACACCCTCGGGGTCTGTCTCCACCTGGGGAGGGGGAAGGGGGCAGCTACTGAGTGCAGGTGGCCCAGAGGGCCGCAGGCCAGTCTCAGGGGTCACAGGCTGGTCGGGGCCAGACCCCCGATTGGGCAGCATGTGACGGGAAGGACCTCAGGGAGCACGATGTTTAAGCTCCAAATGCATCTTCCCAGTGACATGGAAGTCCAGAGGTGCGGGGGCACTCCGGTTGAATCGGGGCTGAGGGCTGCCTCTCCCCATGAGCCCAGCCCCTCTCTGCTCCCCGGCCCCTCCGTGGATGCCCAGAACTCTCTGGGTCACAGTACGGATGCCACTGCCCAAGACCAATCTCCACACTTTACAGATGGGGAAACCGAGGCTCAGGGATGGTGCCAGGCCTCAAAGCACAGAGGGATCTGATGCTGTTCTGGCCTGTGCCCGATCCCTCGTGGCGTGGGGCTCAGAGGCTGTCGGGGGTGAGTGGGCGGGCTCAGGGCAGACTTAGCCCACCCCCATCCCGGGCATGCTACATTGGCGTCTGGCCCCCACGCTCGACTGTGAGAAACTCAGCGGCAGAACCGACCCTTCTCCCTGGCCCCTCTCCCCTGGAGGAGGCGCATCCCCCAGGAAGCCAGAGGGCAGGCTTTCTCTTTGCAGGGACACTGGGGGTGCAATTGAAGGGGCACAGTCCTGTGAGCCTCCCAGAGCAAGGGGCTCAGGCCCTCCTGAGGAGGGCACTCGGGGCAGGGGGCAGGGCACCTGCTTGCACCTTGTAGGGGCTCCTGGGGGGGCCGAGATGATCAGGAGGAAGGTGTCAGCTCAGGGCCAGGCTCACAGACGCCAGGGAACTGCAGCTGAGACTGTGGCAACAGTTCCTAACAGTCCCCACTGCCAGTCTGTCCCTGCTGTCCCACCCAGACCCTTTGCGTCCCTCCCACCCCCGGCTCCACTGTCCGTCCTCCCCCGGGAGGTGACAGCCCCCCTGTCCTGGAGCAGCCTCGTCCTGGCTGCTCATCCTTCTCAGGCTTTGCCAGCACTGGGAGCTTCTCCAGAAAAGGCAGCCCAGGGCAGTGCAGGGGGCGCTGGCACAGCTGCCGCCCCAGCTGGGTCCGAGCCCCAGGGGACCGGGCTGGGGGTGCAGGGAGGGCAGTGCGGTCAGTGTGATGAAGACGTGAGGAGGAAGTGGACTGAGACTGTCCCCAAGGAGGGGACACTGGGGAGAGTCAAGGAGGGGCAGGCATTTTCGGGGATGGGAGCATTCCAGGCAGTGACAGTACTGGCAAAGGCATGGAGGGGTGAGCAGCATGGATTGTTTTAGAGACCAAGGGAGGCTCCAGAGGCTGGAGGGGGGCACAAGCGACAGAATGATGGTGGGAAGTGGGAGCAGAAGGTGGTCTGGGCCGCTCCTCGGTGGGCTGAGCTAAGGCACCTGGGTGATAATTTGTGGGTGAAGGAGAGTTCCTGAATCCACCTGAATGAATTCACATTTTAGGAAGACCCCCCAGCATGTACCTAGCATCGAGTACGACATATGGTAAGTGGCCAGGACACTGACGAATGAAGGAATGAAGGCCGGGTGGATGGAAGGAAGGAGGGAAGGAGGGAGGGAGGAGGGA